TGTAGTACAAGCTTTATGTGCACTATGCCAATATCTTGTGGGAAACCCTGATATAAGCTATTAAATGTACATGTAAATGAACATGAATAAAGACATGTACAACAAATTGTGAATGCACATAGTCAAAAAATTATTATCAGAAAATAATGAGTTGTATACCAAATGTCACCATCCTGAAATTATTAGAAATAATAATTATAAGTACTGGTACATGTACATGTATACGACTATACGATAATTATTACCATCTAGAGATATGATGATGAGCTCTTGGAGGGAAATCACTTGATGAATCCATCATATGTACCATAGCATCAGGCCAATCCTGATCTATAGCAAACCACATCCATTATAAACCACACCCACTACCACCAATCACCTCATTGTTTCGGTATTGGTTGCTTCTTCTCCCCAGACACGAGGAGGCTAACAATGAAATTATGTCCAACATAAGAGAGCTTCTCTGACTTCCTATGCTGTGGTTAATAACCAGAATCTGCCTTTAAGAAGAGATACAGTGACTGAGAGACTGTTTATGTCTTACTGAATAAGTGGATGCAGTGAGGCCCCACTGTTGCAATATGTCTTCAATGGTGGAGACAAAACTAGAGAATGTTTGATAAATTATATAAAGGAGCTGATACTTACCTTTCCCACGGGGAGGCATTAGTAAAATCTGTTATCTCAAAGAGTTCATCATCAGTTTCATCAGACATTTTGTATTCTAATAATACGAACTACAAAATTATTAATTAGTCTATCTAAAAATTATTTCATGTAGATCTAGCCACGCCCTTAAATAAATTATTAATTCCGAAAAAGCACTGAAGCAAAGAACTGCAAAGAAGAAGAAACTAAAGAAAGAAAAGTTCAATGTGAGGTCCTGGCCTCAGGACAGGATTAACTCATTGCTATGGCTACTAGTCAAACTTGTTTAGGTATTCTTTAATATGTTTTTTTTATCTTTTGATGAAATTTCCGCCATTCTTTTCATGTAGGTGTGGATCGGAGTATTGATGATCTTGTTGATGTTCTTGGTTTATTGGGAAAATGTGGGTTTCCAGAAATAAAATGGTATAAGCTTGGACTGAGACTGGGACTAAAGAAGAATACACTTGATGTCATAGAAAAGAATCATCCTCATGATGTATCTCGTTGTATGACAGAGTGCCTCTCCCAATGGCTCCGTAGAGCTGATAATGTTGACAGTAGAGGAGGAGCCAACTTGGACTCACTGTCAGATGCTCTACGATCTATGAATGAAACTGCTGTAGCTGAGAAGTTAAGTGAGTCAACCATAACTGTATGTAACTATAATCATTGTATTTTCTATCATAGAACATCATGTTCTTATTAATATTTTTAATAATCGTCATACTGTCCTGTCTCAGTCTCTTTGTGATTCTATTGGTATTGCTTGGTTACTTTATGGTGAACATATGTTGACACAAGAAGCAGTTAGTAGAGTGGTGTCAGCTAGTCCCTCTATTCCTAATCAACGTGAGGCTCTATTAACTGGTGTCAAAGAAGCTGTTCAAACTGATCCCAACAGTTTACATACATTTGCTAATGTATTGTGTAGAATAAGTACTAATATATCACTAGGACAAACTATACTGGATGATATTAGTGAGTATGATGTCTGTTTTATTAATTAAAAATCTATTGATGTTGTTAAGTGTGTCCTGACAACTGTTTGTTTATTATGTGTTTAGGTGAGTATTTTCCTACTCCTGAAGTGGGTGTAGTTCCTGAGACTATTAAAGATCATGATGTAGTTCCACAAGGTAATAATTATTAATTAATTGATAATATCTTCATTAATATCTATAGGTAATACAAGAAATAATCAAACCAAGGCAACACAATCTGGTATGTATTAATATAGCAAGAAAAGTGCTTCATTTTAATTTAAAGACACTTCTTCTGATACAAAAGTTGCTAATAATTCCTCTTCACAACCTTTATCACCTCAAGGTATACACCTTTTTCATGTACTACCGTATAGCTAGAAAATTTGGTGGAGTAAAGTTTGATGAATCTTTAAAATTGTTCCATTTACCAAAATTTTAGTTTGCAATTTGATAGGCTCTGGAGCCACATGCACATATAGTTAAAATTTTAGCCTCCAAACCTTCTTTAGACTCAATTTACCAAATTTTAGCACTCCAAATCTTCTAGCTAATATGGTACTACTAAAGTAATATCTTTTGTAGTTGAAGTACATGTTCCTGTTCCTAAAGACTTATTAACAAACTTTAGCTCAATGAGAACATGTTATGGAAGGATGTTTTACAATGTTGGCAAGATCATTAAAAGAAAATCTCCTCCTTTAGAAGAAATAAAAGAATTCCTGTCTTGTCGTAGCATTGTTTTTAGACGAAAAGTAGAGAAATGTACTAATATTTCTGGTGTCTTGCGTCTTATTCAAAATGACTGTTCACTGACTGATATTGAACTCCTTCACAGTGTAGTGGAAGAAATGGAGATCACTGAAGCTACCAGATACATTGAGGCATATAGAACAGAATTAAAGGAATTCTGCAAGTCACTCTCCATCAGTCTTTGTTTGAAAGAAAGATTTGCTTCCATTCCTCCTCTTCAATGTGAAACAGTTACTTTTGTCCTTGACTGGGAGCCTGAGGAACATGTACTGAAGGATATTAAGGATATACTGTCGAAAATGTCTGGTAAACTTCTGAAAATTGAAACTTCCACTTCAATATCAGTCACTTGCTCCTTTCCTTTCTCTGATGTTGGGTTTACTGTATTGAGGATGATAGAGAATATTCATATACTAATGGGACAAGGATTAAAGAAACTGACTATTGGTAACTTAACATTATGGAGGAGACAACATGTTGGACAAAAGGTACATGTACCTGTACATTTTGGCATTAATAGTTGATTACATTGTACAGGAACTAAAAGAAAAGGATCAAGACTCATTACAACGTACAGATGTCAGTGTACATTTTAAAGTCATAATTATTCCCATGCAATTTAAGACATTATTTTTACACTAAAATTTTCATACATGCATTTTTAGGTTATTTCTTATATTATACTTGAAGAGGCTGAATGTAAGCTAAGAGATGCTATCAGTAGCAAAGAGAAGGTATGCCATTCACATAATAGATGGTTGGGTATCTTGTACTTATAATAGGAAACAATTAAATTAAAACAAGAACTATCAATGATGAAAGTACTGGAGGTTAGCTAATACTGTATAGGGGTTTTATTTTGTTGATATAAAATTTTGTGAATTTGTTCAGATTTGCCATTTTTTGGTATAAATTTTTGCCTTACCTTCTTCAGCCATTTCCCTAGCGTGCCACACCTCTCTTGTAGAATTTAATTTTATGAATTTAATGAAAACACAAAACTAGCGAAATTTATTTCCAGTAAAATATAACCCTTATATTGTATTGTACTATTAATACTTACATGTATAAAGTACTTCTACAAAACTTTTGTCGGTGTTTGTAATCTTAAATATTTCATTGCATATAATTATTTTACTAACAATTCCATCCTTACCTCTGTAATAATTGTATCCACAGCCTTGTACACTTCTTCAACTATTCCATTCTCCATGGCGTCCATTTTTAATCACGTGATCTTCCCTCCCACACTTATTAAAAATTATTAAGTTGCCATCGTGTTAATAGTGCTAATGTTGTGAATAGTAAACTTCTGTATATTAAGGAGTATACTGATGTAAACAATACGCCGTGATGTAGCAGGCTACTGTAGGGTACGTTGGATACTCTCCCTAATATTATGTACTCTTGACTACATGCATCTGTATTTGTGAGTGCATGAGGTCTGTTATTCATTTTTCCTTGCTATATGTATGTGTCAATGTTGTCATTTAACTTCTGTGATATTTCTACCTGTACTTTATGATAATGTGTTAATTATTAGGAAGAATCATTGTCTGTTCAAAGTGATACTGAATCAGTTAAAGAAGTTGAGGTATATCTTGATCACTGGTTTGTATTAATTATAATAATTATTAATAGGAAGAACCACTTTATGAAGAGTTGACTGTGTTGAGCTCTCAGTTTAATGAGATACAAAAAGAAAACAAAGAATTGACTGACAAATTATCAAAAATAAAGGTTGAGTATTTGAGATTACTTTCACTTTCTAGTAATACTGATTCAGGTTAGAGTATAGTTTTATTAATTATATACTAGTTATAATGATTAATTAAAGCTGCTAGAAAATTGAGGAGAGGAATGTCTTTTGAAATTGATGACTGCAAATTTCATCTTAAAGCAATGAAAAGACTAGACTATCAGCCATTAGTAGGTAATAAAAGAATAATAGAGAAATTACAAGAAAGAATAACATTAATGAATATGGAACTAATGACTGAAAGAGAACACAATGAGAAGATTATAAAAGATATTAAAGGTTTTAATCATTATGTGTGACATCATTTGATTGTTGATATTTGAATAGATTTGACAAGTGTTGAAGACAAAGAGACTAGTAATGAAGAGATTGAGTATGTTAGTCTAAAGGATGAGATGAAGGATCAGATATGTTCAGTAAGTGAAGTCAGACATGATAAGTAGATCTTATACTCTTTTTAATTAGTTACAACTATATTGTAATCATCCTGTTACTGGAAGATTTATGAAGCCAAGACTTAAAGTACATAAAGATGAACTACTACCCACAGTACTGGATAAAGCTTATGAGGTTTATTATTTTTAGTTAATTTCTATTTATTCTTTCATTTTTTCATTTCTATTTTCCTCATTCCTTAATCAGTTAATGGAATTAGCTCCTCATATTCCTATTGAGAGATGTCGTTTAGTTAAATATGATTATGAGAATGATGTAATGGAGCAGTCCTTTGACCTTGATGAGGTATAATTCATTTTTTGTATCCTATTGTTATTGTTATTTTTAGTTTAAGCATCAAACTATTGGACAGATTGTGGGTGGGACTAGGCTTTATTATCCTTTTGGATTATTCATAGAAACTCGTGAAGAAAATGAAATTTTTGATAAATACCATAGTGGAGGTAAGTATGGTTGGTTACAATGACAATGCCTCTAATTACATGTAAAATGTGTTTGATGGTGTAGGTAATAATCTATTGATATCAGTGGTTGATCTGTCAACTGGTAAAGTAGGACCAGGTAAACTTATGAGAGTTGAAGAAGGTTGGACTGTTGGAGAATTTAAAAAACATATAGGAGAAGTAAGGGGAAGTTATATAATGTCTTTAGTAACGCAGTAGCGTTAAGCGTCACTAAGTAGGATTCACCCCAAAACAATATGGCTGCCACGACTTTTGCAGCCTTGCTATACCGGGAAAACGAGCTCCTATGCTTACCAGACTTCTTAGAGGACCTTATCTTGACCAGAGGACTCCATTGGTACCACTAGTGTGGATCTAAACCTTGTCTAAGAGAAAATTCAAAAATCGGTGAACCGGCCATTTTGTTCAGCCCACTTTTTTGTCTTCATCATCATCTTCTGTCAATCAGTTGACAGTTAATGGAGGGTATCGTGGTCTTTGAACAATGCTACAAGGCTAATTTTTATATCATTTTACTCCAAGTTAACTCTCCATGCGCAGATCCATAACTTTTCAAATAACTCTAACAATAAAAAAAGTTCAGTACTCTCTCTATCACCCCCAGCCCAAGCTTACCTCGTTCCGCCATTTTGTTAATTAAAGAAGCATGTACTCCAAAATGTGGGTGTGGTTGCGCGTGCACAGATCTCAGAACTGGCAATTTCATTATCTACAGTAGCTATGCTTGGATCAACTGCAATCAACTAAGTGGAGGTTCTAGGCAGGGGCGTAGGCAGGGGGCAATTGTCCCCCCTTTTTTAAAATCAAAATTTAAAATTACCAAAAATAATAAGCTACTTTTGGAAAGAAAAGCTGTTCTACAACTTGCATATGAAAGGAAAAGGCTAAATCAGTCTTTTTTATGATCATTATAAAGCTGAAAAGATATTCAACGTTGCCTGTGGTCATTCAAGAAGTCTGCCATGTTGGAAAAGAGGTGTGGTCACGCCCTAAAAGGGTGTGGTTTTGTAAAATTTTGCTGCGCACTTTGCGTGCTGCATAGCTTGCCTCTTCTTTTCTAAAATCCTGGCTATGCCACTGCCAGGCTTCCAGTTCCAGCTAAGAGAAGGTATTTAGTCTTGGATATCATTGTTTTATTATGTGTAATCAATAAATTTTATTTTAAAAACACAAACAATAATTAATTCCATGTTATACAATGATCATCAACTTGCAACAGAAACAACAGTCAACAAGACAAGATTGCGAAGAAGAGATGGGTACTGTCACTGCTACATTTGTGTCAAGATTATTATTATATCATACTTCACTAAACGCCTCACTAAACACTGATCAGTATAGAATTCATTTAGCATAACTATTCACCACGATAGCAATCAACACCATCTGAAAAAATTCATATTGCAAATATTATTAAAAAATCAACTCAACCAAAAACAT